TACTCCACGGAACTGAAGGACCAAGCTGGAATCTTTCTTCCCTCCTCTTACACCACTTTTGTTGCGTCGGAAATGAGGTTTCCGTATTTATGTTTGTTTATGTAGAAATAGCTCCTCCTCAGTGGTAACATTTTCCATGCCTTTATGCAAGCCAGAAATGAAGTTTTTTGTTTTCACTTGTGCCACATCGTGTCTGTTTACTGTTCTGAGTTTATTTTCAGTGGAAGAAGCTGCCATGTTAATGTTGAAGACAGAAGGTCTCTATTTCTAAAAGATACAGGACTGGCAATCTGCTCCTGGTGGAGAATTAGTGCGCTGTTGTTCTCCTGTGGATGCAGGCCATGTGGACACATCCCTGCTAGCTTTATGTCGGTTTGCTGTCTCTAACAGAATCGGTCCCCATGCAGTTTAGAGCCTCTTCTCTATCAAGAATCCTAATAACAGTGTTTTTCATCTCTAGGTTTTTATCAGGATAGTTATCTTGATAGAAATAGCACATGCTTTGTTTTGTTTTCTTTTCCCCTTTTTGCATTGAGAGCAGCCCCTAATACTCCTAAAGTGCTTTCAGAAGATCTGTTAGATAAGTTTAAGCTGGTACAGAGGTTGGTGTTTAAGCTAATGCCCTGGCAGTACAAGGTCCTATCTTGCTCTAATGTGCATAACTTGTAATGACTTCTGGGCAGGAACAGGTAACAGCTTGTAGGGGATGGGAGCCTTCCACATTCGAGGTTTTTGGGTATAGACCTCACACAGACCTAGGCACTGCCTGAAGCTCATGTAACCCACGTAGAAGAATCGTACAGCTCTGATCCAAGTTTCCTGTGGCCATCCTGAAATACACCTAAGCCTGCGTCTGAAAGCCCTGGGAGTGCCTAGATGTACTTTTATGTGTGCATGTTTCCAAAAGTTTGTCACTTTTCCTGGCGCTCTGTTCTCCTGGTCCTGTTATATTTCAGGTTACCTCCGGGGGGAGCAAGGTAGTCAGTTGGAGGTGGGGAAAGCTCCAAGAGTGAAACTTAGAAGTGTTGAAATATTTTCCTTTGATATATTTAAGAGTGTTCTCCCGAAAGGGAGAATAAGTGTGCAAGTAACTTTATTCTCCCTTGAACTGGAAGCAATGAGGTAGAGATGAAAGAGTGGGCAGAGAAGACAGGATATGGCAGAAGAGTAAGGAACTCTCCAAAATCTATTATGCATTAGATTGGTTTGTGTTGCATTGGTAATTCATGTTTCTAAATGCCCCTGATTTGACATATGGTAATGTCAAGCGCCTTCCTCATGGTTTAGTACCTTGCAGTGCTGGGAACTGTATGGGGCAGAGAACAAAAAGGCAGTTGTCCCAGGGAGCTTAAAATGCGCAAGAAACAACAGAGGAATACAGCCAGCTGGGAGGAGCACTGGAAAGAGATCACAGCCAGGGGCCTGACTGATGTCAGGTCATTGCACAACTGGAGTAGCAAAGTGGAAGAGTGGAGAAGATGGAGGTGAATAGGGAATAGCTTTGTGGCTGTTGGGAAGTATCTTTTTACCCAGGTGTGAGAGGAAGCAGGGAAGTATATTGTGGCACTGACTTGGGCTGTGATGGAGGTAGGTGTCCAAGAAACAAGTGCCAAAACACGTTCACAGTGTCAGGTAAGAGGGAAGCTGTTTATGCCAAGGTGCTTGATCTGTAGCTTGTCAAGGCAGCATGTTTGCTGTGATGTCCTCGCAGGCACCGCCTCTATTGGAAACCTGTTCTAATGGTTTGCTAGACTTGTGTCCTGTTGCACAGGGGAAGAGGCCTCTCAGAAGAAAGGCCTGTTAAGTGAGTTAACAGCCCATCCTCCTGATGTTCTTTTTAACAAAGCAAAAGAGGAGCTCAAAGGCTGAGCTAGTGGTAGTGAATGAGCTGAAATCCACTCACCTGGTTAAGGCTCTAATCGTCTGTGCTGTTAGCTGTTTTTCTTAAGTATAGACCAGATTTGCTCTCACAGCTTCAGCTTCTTGCGTACGGTAGTCTTTTGTAACAGCTTTGTGCACTGCTTATACCTGTCACTGTAGCTATGATGTGTGGGACTTGAGAAGATTAGAAGGGATAATTTGGAAGGTGTATGTTAATTTTGCAGATTTGGGAGTACAGTATTCCATCGTGTTTCACTAGCAAGGAGAATGAACTGCCAACTGATGCACAAAACCAATAAAACGTATCAAGTGAATAAAAAGGTGTCCTCAGGGGCAACCCTGAGGGGCAGGGGGGGTGAGGTGAATTGGGTTTTGGCGTAGGAGGAGTGTAACTCTAGTTTGTAAGAAAGTTTGTATGTTTTCTTTCAGAACACAGTGCTGGAAAGAGTTATTAATTTCAATGACTGTGTCAGTTAAAGGGGGTTAGATTAAGAATGATAGACGATCATGTAATTAATGGTGGTTGATGTATAATCACAAGGGGGCAGTGTTAAGGTTACATACACAACTTGAACTTATAAGTGACCCTGCTTCTGAATACATAACCCTTGTCATGTCAAAATGCTTGTTGATCACTTTTTGCTATTTCCCCTTCTTTTAAAATGAGTGCAGAGACACAGAAGAATTCCCTTTCAGATCTTCACTTCTGTTGATCTTACTGACGCTGCATTTGGCTCTATGCTATTGATGTGGTTTGATTAGCTGGAGTGTGGATGTCCAGGTCCTGTTCCTCCTGCCACTTGTGGTCTGATGTACAGATCCTCTCCCCCATGAACTTTAGGAAGGGCTTAGCAGCTTCCCCTCTTGCATATCTCCCAAAGTGCACTAGGATGTGCAAGGTTGCAGCTGGCTGGACTTAATTTAGACCTAGGTTAACCACAGATGCATCTGCTCTGATTTCATTCTAGATGTGCCCTTTATGAGCTTAGTGGAAGCACTCTCTCAGCACTGTGAGTGTTCAGTTGCTATCTTGTGACATCCTCATCCGGCCTTCATCTCTCCAAATGTTTAGATATAGTATAGGTAATGAAGTGTGCGTGTGTGTGTATGTATGTTTTGAAGCTCAAAACTGAACAGTTGTATTTCCTGTACTGATCAGGACTGGAAAGGAGTTGCCCTGCTGTACGTGTGGTTATGGAAAGTTGTAACTCAGAGCAGTGCTATTTTGGAAAAACAACTGGAAAGAACGAAGAAAAGCCAAGTTTGACAATTAGTTTGTAAATTAAACTACAGCAGTTGTGCAGGTCCATGTATAGTAAGATAATATCTGCTTTTAAAAGTCTGGGTATTTCCCTGGATTTTTCTCTTTCCCCTGTGGAAGAAAACAGAAATGAGGTAGACTGTGGCACAAGTAACATCAGAGTGCTGCACACTATTAATGCAAGTGTGTATTTTGTAAAAGCCTGTGCTGGAGGGGCCATTTGCACACCTTAGTGTGCATGTGGAAAGGACTTGCTACTGGCCCTCTGCTTTTACTGGGTACCTGTTCCCCAGTTTGTGCTGTGGCTTCAGGTGAAGCAGAGCTGGGGCAGTTCATCTGCAAGTGTATCTCTTGTTTGTGCTGTGTAATGACCTGTCAGTAAATGACAGATGTGTCCTTCCCTGCTGCAGCTGCAAACTGTGGTGATGGATTGTTGGCCTTTCTAAAGCCCTTTCCATCTACTGATCATAAAGGCCTGTGTAAGAGCTGTGTCTTGTGCTTTTACTGAAAGGGCATTCCAAAAAGTATTAGGAGGTTATCAGAAGGAGGCAACATTATGCTGTTCCCCTTGATAGGCACGTCTCTACTGCAATCACATCAGAAGCAGCTCTTCTAATGGGTAGAACCAATGGCTGCCTGCTTGTGATCTTGGTTTAAGTGGATTATCGTCCTGCAATCCAGAGGTCACACTAGAGCCTGCTTACAACCAAATTGAAAATAATAGCTACTTTAGATCTTAGACCTTCAAGAATTTGTTCCATTGAAAGAAGATAGCTTTTTATCCAGGAAATGGCCAAGGGTCATGCTGCTTTGAGATCTTGCATGTTCTGGGTGTTTTCATGGGTCAACTGGCTTTTAAAAGCCAATCAGGTTAAATTCACATTGTGCAGAAAATAATACTAAGTTAGTAGAATTACTAACAGGCTGGCTAAGTGTACCATGCCATACAATGTTTGGTAGAAGCATGACTTCCATGCTCTCAAAGTCAGGAAAGCTTTCAGTACATATCCTTCCAATGAGGGTGCTTTGCACTGAGTGTGTTTTTCAACATGGCAGTAGGAGAGGGAGGATTGCTTGCTGAAGGAATAAGGATACTCTTCCCCTCACCCCCCTTGCTGCATAGTGACACTGTGGCACATGTTGTTGCCTGTTGCTGCTTGGCAGGCTAACCATAACACTAAGACACAGCAGAATAGCCCATACTTTTATGGAAAGCAGAGCTGTTAACTTAGTTGTGCCTGTCATCTTCCAGTATGGATGATTTAGATACCTCCTTCTGATCTTTTTATAAGGGCATGCAGTGATAGGACAAGGGGGAATGGTTTTAAACTGAAAGAGAGTAAGTTAAATTAGATATTAGGAAGAAATTCTTTACTGTGAGGGTGGTGAGGCACTGGAACAGGTTGCCCAGAGAAGTTGTGGATGCCCCATCCCTGGAAGTATTCAAGGCCAGGTTGGATGGGGCTCTGAGCAACCTGGTCGAGTGGAAGGTGTCCCTGACTATGGCAGGGGGGGTGGAATGAGATGATCTTTAAGGTCTCTTCCAACCCAAACCATTTTATGATTCTATGATCTCAGGTAAATGCTATATTCATCTTGTGCTGAAATTATTGCAGTAGGGAGGTGACAATAGCGGTGGCAGTGTTTCAGGATGTCAGGGAGGATATGAAAGGTTCCTGAACACCACATGATTTGTTGTGTCACGAGGGGTGGCACTGGCAGACTTATCTAGGTCCTGTTCCTAAAACATGTGAGCAGCCTGGTGAAAGGCATGTGAGAGATGCAAAGCACTGTTACTGTTATGCTCCTGACTCTTTTCAGCTGGGTTCAATTGCTTTTTGGTCCTCTTCCTTGGCAGGTCTTGGCTTGTGGGCAGCTCTTCAGCAATCCCATCTGGAACCTCACACCAAAAGGCACCATGATAATGATGACTGATGTCACTGCAGCCCCCAGATTGGGGTCAACTGCCACCACTTCAGCTGTGGCTCCTAACTTCTCCCGGATGCCGGAGGATGGCAGCCCCACGGCTGTGGAGCAGCCAATATTCCTCATGACCCCTGCTGCTCAGGCTATCTCAGGTTTCTTTGTATGGACAGCTTTGCTCATCACCTGCCATCAGGTAAAACCCCGTCACTCGTACTTCTCATCCTTTCCTTTTCCCCACATGGAGGAACAGACCATTTCCACAGTATGAATGGAGAAGAAGCACACTCTGTAAAACATTTGGCCGCCTCTTGAATGTTTGCAGTAAGGTGTGTTATCTCAGGCCATCCTTTCACAGGTCTTGTATCTGAATCCAGCCATTTTGTTATTGTGTCAGCTGTTGGCTAAAAGATTGTAGTCACCTGTTGTTTGACATTCTTCCTTTGATCTCCTGTGCCAGTGGATTCCAAAGGCTGAACTCCTCCACTGCGGAAAGGAGTAGCAGGAAATGTTTTATTTTGATTTTTCTCTTCTCCCCGCTTTCTGGGCCAGTTGTCCTGGGAGCCAGAACAAGTCAAACCCTGCATCCTGTTCTGTACCTCCCTTTCATGCAGTTGTCATGTGAACTAAAAACCACAGTAGGGAAACACGAGCCCTGTTATTTATCAACCTGTGTTTTGTACCTGTTGGATCATAGATTCCAGAGTGATGACTAGAATCTAGAAAACTACAGCCTATTGATGGAGTACAGGGGCTAGTGAAGTTAAAACATGGATTAGTCACAGATGAATAAGAGTAACACCTGCAGTTTCACCAGCTTGAGTAACAATTGCAAGTGCCATGGATCCTGCTGTCAAATTGATTGCCTGCTGAAGGTAGGAAGAAATTTTCCTCCGCAGTATAGCATTGCACAGTTAGGCATTAATGTCCTTCTCCAAAGAAACTGATGGAGGTCAGTGCCACAGAGACACTGTTGATTGAAATGTGCTGTTGTCCTCTCACACGGCAGCAGCTCCTATGCTCTCGTAGGCGCATGGATCACAGGGCTCTTTTGACATCCCAAGGGCAAAGCTTAGAGTCATCTGAACTCCGGTATCAGCTGTCCCTGTGCTGGGTGAGATGTGTCACTGGGATTGTCAAAGGGCAAAAATATCCCTAAGGTTTGTTAGTTTATTTTCAACCTGTTCTCCCCAGGAAATGAGGTTTTTGTGAGCTCCTCATGAGTTAGGGAGAGGAAACAGAAGTATTTTTGAGCCCTTCAGTCGATTTTGACCAGATCTGGCCAAGAGGCAGGGAGGGATAAGCAACAGACTGCTGGGGAGAGAGAGACAAGCCCCTCTCCCTTATGAGGGAAAGGTGAGATCATCAGCGTATGTTTTGTTAGATCCTGCAGAATCCTCACAACATCCCCAAATGCAGGGTGAAGCTTCAAACAAACACTTGTGCCTCTTTAGGCAGCAGAATCAGTCAGTCATGAGGCACGTATGTAATAAACTAGCTGTTACTAATTCCAGGAGTTGGGGCAGCAGCTCGATGAGAATTGCCATTCAGAGGCTTTGCCTCTGCTGACTCCATGGTCAACAGAGCGTACCCACAACTTACACTGAAGCTCTGGCTGTGTTATTAGGCCATTGCAGGAGCTGTACTTATCTTCAGGGTGTGGTTGTGGTCAATGCCTTTTTCAGGAGGTGGGTATTCTGTGAAAAAGCATCTTAGGTGTGGGATTTAATCATGGCTAACAAACTGTGAGGGGTGGGAGCAAGTAAGGTGGGGACGCTGTGCTCCCCCAGCCCGTGACTTAGGGGGATTGGCATGTGTGCAAACAGTCAGACAAAACAAACGCTGTGGCTCTGTGGTTCCTTTGAGCACGTTGCATGACCTCAGTGCTCCCTTGATGGCTGTCAGTTTGTGGCTGTGCTGTCACCAATGTGCAGAATGACACTTTTTGAGCATATAGGCTGTGGCTTATCAGCTTTTTGGCTGTGCTCTGAAGGGCTCTCTTAGGTTGTTTCAGGTGAAAGCATCCAAAACTGCTTTCAGAGAGTGAGTGTGTTCACAAAGAGCATGTGCTTAAGCGCATACACCTTCCCTCTTCAGAGAAAAGCGGCCTGCAGTGGTGTGAATCTTAGGTACTTAAAAGAGGATAGCAGGAAGGTAGGACTGATAACTGGAAAAAAGATGTGAACAAAAGAATGTGGGCAAGGTAATGTAACAGTAAATTAATTCCCTATAAGAAACTAGGTTAGAAATGCCTCCATTTCCTTTTCCTTCTCCTTCCCCCTCTCTGCAAACCAAGGGTTGCTATATCAGTGTCATATGATAACAGTGATTTATTTTTTCTTGTATGTTCATCACCTTGAGGCTGCTGGAGGCAATCAAGAGGTGATTTACTGCATTTGTTTTTCCTGGTCCAATTGACTCTCCAGTTCTACTTTCCCTCTCTACTCCATATTCCGCTGATCCTGGTCTCCCCTCTCCGTCCTCTCAGATCTACATGCATCTTCGCTGCTATAGCTGCCCAAACGAACAGCGCTACATCGTTCGGATCCTCTTCATTGTGCCCATTTATGCCTTTGACTCATGGCTCAGTCTCCTGTTCTTCACCAATGACCAGTACTATGTTTACTTTGGCACAGTGCGAGACTGCTATGAAGGTAAGGAGGGGTCAGACAGAGGTGGGAAGTCTCTGCCCTGAGAGAACTTTGTTGCTGGTTGAGAACATGGAGAAAGCATCACTGTCACCTACTGAAGCAAAGTTTTGTGGTGTGCCTAACTGGATGACCATGGCTTGCTTAGTGACTGAAAATCATAGAATCAAAGGATGGTTTGGGTCAGGAAGGACCTGTAAAGATAATCTAGTGCAGCACCCCTGCCATGGGCTGGGACAGCTTTGCTCAAAGCCCCGTCCACCCTGACCCTCTTCCTCATTGGCCTCTGAGCAGGACAGGATGTGTTGAAGCTTCCCTTTACAGTGTTCTGTAAAGACCAAGTTTATGGTTTTCTTGGGTCCTTTGTTTCAGGAAGGTCTAAAGCCAAAGAATCTGATCGTATCTGGGTGTTAGAAAGCGAGGTGTTGCTTAGCTCCTGGCTGTTCTGACAGCACCTACTCAGCAGCCAAACACTTGCTTTGTCCTGTTTTACTGGTGCGGTGTGTTAGCAATGTATTCTTCTGGTCCCATCCTGTGGCCACTTGTGTGCTTGCACAGGGTAGCGCAGCTGCCACATGCTGAGGCTGGTCAGGTGTAGTGCTTCGGGGTCCTGCAGGAGAGAGGATACCATGTTCAGGATGAGTTACCAATGGCTTGGTTTTGGTTATCTGCTGCAGATAACATAATACCACTAATGCTGTATGTGAGGGAAGCGGTTACTCTCCAGTAAATGCTACCTTAACTTCCCTCCTGATCTTATCCTGAAAGAAGCCTCTACCCACCCGGCAGGAGAGACTGCACTCAAGCAGTGTATTTTTGAGGACAATTTATCACCATCCCCTCATTAAATCATAACTCATTGGTACAGTTATTTTGGTGAGATCTGCATTGCAGAGAGGTGCCCCTGGCCATGTGATCAAGTTAATCAGCTGAAGGGACCAGCAGGCCCTCCTCACATCCACAACAACGCTCTGAGATGCAGCAGCAGATGGCAAACGTGCACACGTGATGCAGAAGGCATCTTTGTTTGGGCCTGGTTTTATAGTTTCCCTGCCCTGTGCGTGTGTAGGTCTAGCAGGAAGCCTGCTGCTCTGGGAAACTCCTCTCCTAGCAACAGCCAGTGTCCCTCTGCCTTGCTTGCTCAGGGAGTTTGCAAACATTTGAGCATCTGCTCAGGAGGCAGCCTGTGCGCCAGAGTTCACCTCGGCGCATTGGCCTGTGTGAAAACTACAGGTGGAGGTGAAAGCACCTTTGGAAAGCAGGTTCTGTCCTTCACTTTTTCTGGGGATCACTTCAAAACAGCCTTTTTGTTCTGTTCCCTCCCTTGACATCCACCGTATCCTTTCTTTTACTGAGAAGGTTTTAGGTTGTGAGGTGGGGAGGAGCTCTATTAGGGAATGGGGGCAGAAGACTCTACTAATAAATTTTGAAAGCTGTCTTGAGCCATATGTAGACTACATTTCATAGTGTTTTGGTGTTGCTCTTTCCTGTGACTGTTTCTGTACAAACCTGAGTGTCAGTAACACTGACACAAGTAGATTTTTTTTCTTTTACGTCGATATCATAAGTATCATCTAATGACTGTGGATCAGGAATGGGAGAAGTGTTCTTTTGCTGATGTGATGAGTTTTGATCGCTAGCACTTACTTCTTTTGGGGAGGGACAGGCAGATATTTCTCCCTCCCTTTTATTCCTTTTGTTTTGTTTTGTCTTCTTCCTCTGATGTCATCTCTTCCCTAGTGCTTGTGGAATGGCCTGGTATTGTAATGACCACATCAGAGGGCAGGGGTCACTGGAGGACAATAGGAAAAGCTCAGCTTTTCTTCCTCTGGGTACTGGGAGCTGTCAACTAAGTTACAGGAAAATTGAAGGCAAAAGGGGTTACCACAGTTATTTAAATGAGTTTTCCATGGTTGGTGTTTTGTCTCCTAATTAAGGCTTTGGTAAAGTAGTTACTGTGTGAACTTTGTTCAATAATAACGATTACAGGTGGAGTAACAGTATACCAATTACATACGTAGAAGCAGGTATACCATTTGCTTTTAGGTGCCATAGCATTCTTGGCAGCTAGACACATCTACAAGCCATAAATACAATGTTTTGAGACAATGAGAATTTTGGGAAGTGTTGAGTACCTCTTTGCCAGGGCATAGTTTGGATGCTTGTAGAAGAATTAGAGTTGATGTCTGACTTCAGAAGTTCATCTATGTGGAAAAATTGACCTCCGGTCTAATAACCGGCTGCTTGAGGAGATCAGCGTCTCTGTGCTGTATGTTATTAGGCTTCTGTTCTTATTTCAGAGTTCCTCGAGACTTCTGTTTCTATCCCAAATTGTTTGAGGCAAAAAGCAGGATTTGGGTGTTGTCATTCCAGGGAATGTCCGAGTACAGATGACCATAGAAAACAATGTTGAAAGAAAGGTCATCTGGTCTGTCCTTTTGCCCCAGAGCTGTATGTAACACACTCAGTAGTACAGTCCTTGCCCTAAGAAATCTCACAACTTTGAGGGTCCATCAGCGATTTTAACAAGTCAAGAGAGTGTCAGACAGGGCACGTGCAGGCTTACTCCATGCATTAAAGTGGGTTTGGATCCCATGAAAAGGAAATACATCTGTAGTTGTGGAGAACTGAAATGGGACAAACTATTAATGGTCAGTTCAAGAAGGCTGTTCGCTGTCAAGAAGGCATGTTGCTGGGGAAGGCAAAGTGGGCCAAGGAGAAGTTTATTCAGTAGACAAGAAATTTCATCATTCTGAGGAAATGAAGCACAGTCTGTTTTTCAAAAATCTCCACTAAACATGAAAACAGCATTTCACTAAAACCCCTCTGTTTCTCCAGCTTTTATATCTGTAGTCTGGTTACCTGACAGAGAGAAATTGTGTTCATCAGCTAGAAGGTTAAATACAGGAGATAACATATATCTGATCCATTAACCATATCTCTCCCAGATTATTTAGTACCAGCGTAATGTCCTAGAATAATGCACAGGAACCCTGTAAAGAATGGCATCTTACAGATGCCAAGTAATACAGAGACTGACCACAGTTTTAAATGGTTCTGTGACCCTTTTGGCATGAGTCATGGAACTGGTGTGGGACCATGGTCAGGCTCCAGTTCAGATAGTCTTGTGAGTGCTGAGGTAGAATGATAAATGCAGTGAAAATAATCTGGAGTGCTTTGAAGGGGAAGGTGCTGCATAAGCAGTCCCTGCTAATGTTTGGTCTGTTGCCTGTACTCTTGGTCCTTGCACCTGTTTTGAAGTTGGTTGTCATTTTACTCTGATTGATGTCTTTGCAGCCTTTGTAATATACAACTTTCTCAGCCTATGCTATGAGTACTTGGGAGGGGAGAGCTCCATCATGTCTGAGATCAGAGGGAAACCAATTGAGTGAGTATTTATTGTGCTTACAGCATGACGCTATCCTCCTTCTGAGCCCATCCACTTTTCCTCTTATCCCTGCCCTGAAAAACTGTGTCATGTGGCAAATGTCTGCTGAGACTGGACAGTGTGGATGGTGATGATTTACCAATACCCTGGTCTGAGACAGATCAGGGTGATCACATCCTCTTAGGCAAGCTGGACTGATACACAGCTTTTCTGGACACCTGCCTACTCATTTGTTTATTTTTTTATTTCCTTCTCCTTTAAATCTTTTCTATCTTTAGTTGATTGTGCTTCCTTTGGGATCTGTATTTCTCCCTATGCTACTCGGTTAAAGGAAAAATATCATTGGAGTGTATAGTCAGGATGTTGTTTTAGACATTTCTCTGAAAGAGAGTATGGCTGTAACTTTAATTATGGTTGGAGGAAGCACCAGTCCTGCAACTTTGCTACAGAGAGATAGATAAAGAGGGTAGGAGTCTTGCACTCCAGCCCAGATCTTGCTTGTGAACCCTGTCATCTTGTGTTGGCTCTTTCAGGTCCAGCTGTGTGTATGGAACTTGCTGCCTGTGGGGAAAGACCTATTCTATTGGATTCCTGAGGTTCTGCAAACAGGTATGGGCTGGAGAGACTGTGCCATCCTGCAGAAATGAATGAAGTGTGTGTGGGTGGCAATGGTGCCTTTTGCTGCTGAACTTCTGAGATGAGCACTCCTTTGAGGGGGATTATAATAGCATTTTGAGAGGCCTGCAGACTGCTGAGAAGAGGAGTTTCAGGGCTTTTTTGTTTTGAATGATTTTAATGTTTTCTACTCAACCCTGCATCAGGACAGCCTTAGCAAAAGATGCAAGTTATCTCCTGGAACTGATGTTAACCCTGAGAAGAAACATTTCCCTTTCTGGATTGCAGAGATCCCAACTTTAAGAAACTGATGTCTGTGTTGTGTCGCAGACACCTCAGTTGTGTAACAGCCTCCTGAATTCCCAGAGCTGCTGTTGTGGTTTGGAGTTGAGGAGGGGGTGGAGGTTAAGCATGACACATTGCTTTGTAGGAGGAACTGAGTATTGCTCATCATGTGTGTCTGTCTGTGCTGAACTGGGTACGTCGAGTGGGAGGGCGGGAGCGAGGGAGATCTAAACCTCGATACAGCCCTTGTCTGCTCATCCCAGGTCAGTCACCTCTGGCTGTCACCAAACAGCAGGTGAATGTCAAGTCTTTGCTCACTTGCTGAAATGAACGCACAGGGTTTCTTTGGAGACAGCGTGAAGCAGGTCTGGTTCTTTGAAGAGGCTTAGGTCATTTTAATTCCAGTCACTGGGTCTAGATCTTTGCCCTGTCTTTTCCTGTACATCATGACCTGTCTTCTGTGTTTTAGCAATATGCAGAAATATCAAAGGTAAAATGCCATCTCAGTAATATCCAGTGCAGCACAAGTGACCATTTCCAAAGGATGACATCTTTTGCTTTTCTGTTCTGTTTGTCCCTGCCCCATATTTTGTCCTTACGGCTTTCCTGGATTTTTCCCCTGGTACTTTATTTTCTACTCTGGGCCCATTATGCTGCTTCACCTGTTTCTCTTGGGTTTCATTTGGACACCCTGTGGTTGATTCACTGCATTATCTATTCTTTGTGCTTCTAATATTAACTTTTACCTTTCAAAGATGTCATAAGCAAATGTAACACCCATGAAAGGTGAATGAGTACTGGAGAAATAATTTCCCTTAGACCTCTTGTTTCTCATGTCCCACAGCCTCTGGCAATTATCGCCACATGGGTTTGGTGATGGCCGTGTTTGGAAAGTTTGTTCATCACAGTGAAGACTAGAAGCATTCTTTGGGGAGGGGGAGGTGTGTTTTTTCTGCTGGCCTCCACAAATCCTAGCTCATTTGGTAACTCTGGCTAAGGTGGATAATTTGCTTTTCCCTTGCTGCTATCTATCAGCATTTCTTCTAGTCAGGCCTGCCCTTTGCTAACTGCTAAGACTGCTGTGGAGACTGTGAGGGAGATGTCTTGCAAATGGATGTTTAAATACTTCTGTCCTTTTTGGCTTGGTGAGAAATTGTTGATGCCAAGACTCACTTTCTGGTACTTCTAGACTTTCAGGGTTGCCAAGGAAGACCCCTCAAGGCAAATTCGTGGGAAAGCTGGTGCAAAAGAGCAACAGAGCACGTGTCAGTGCTGATCTAGGCAGTATCCATCGTCATGATGATCAGGGGGAGGAATGTGCTGGAAGGAACACCTTGCCCTTTTTACCCTTGTTGTCAGCATCTCCAGCACTTCTGTTGCCTCCCACCCCACCTGCCCATTTTCTGCTCTTTCCAGCCCCTTTCATCCTGAAGGAATCTGTACTATAACCATTCCTTCTTTCCATCTTTACCTCCACTAAAAGCTTTTCTCAAGCAGGTGCCTGGTTTGGGTCAGCGAGTCTGCCTGTGTTGCCTGTGGCCCTCCAGCAGTGTGGTGGCTGCAGCGTAAAATCCAAACAGCTTGTTTCCTTTAGGATGTCTTAATTAAGATTCTTTACTGGGCCTGTGTCTGATGACCCTCACACATGGGTCACACACCATCCATGTGCTTCCCATATGCTGTAGCATCTTCTAGGGAAGCAACTAAAAATAGTACGTGGTGGTTTGGATTGCAGGGAAATGGTTAAAACATCCCAGATCGGAAGAAGGGGAAGCTCAGAGGATGGTGTTGTTTACCAATTAGCTTGACCTTTTCCAGTTCACGTATTTACAGTGACTCACTAACTGGCATGTGCTGGGGTTTTTAATCTCCTTGAAGTCTTATGACCACTAACAAATTGCATCGTATCCAAAGCAATTATTACTGTTTGGTTTTGCCTTCTTTCTTTACATAGCCCTCCCCACATGGGCACAGGTCAGCACCTGCCAAGGCTCTTCCAGCCTCCTTCAGGGAGACATGGATCGTGTCTTTTCAGGGAAACATTTTTAGGGTCAGAAACCTTCACTCTCTTAGGACTTTGAAGTTCAGCATCTCCACAAAGTTGAAGAATGGGGTGGCTTTCAGAGAACATTTGTTCCAATAGGAGCAGTGGTTTATACTGGCAGAATGGATAGAGTTGATCCCAAGTGCCACAGAATCTTTGGGGAGATTCAGTAAAGATCACATGGATGACAGCAGAACAGGTCTTAACTTCTGTCTGTCAACGCACATCTCTGTGTATACAAAACACCTTAATATCGTGGCAGCTGTCAAAAGTTCCTCCTCAGAGAACTAAGTTCCCCTCCGATTCAGGGGACATTCTTGCCTAACTATGACAACTATGGATTGGAGTTTGCTTTCCTTCCCCAGTATGCCTCTGTTAAACTTGCTGTGTCCATACCATAGCACAGTGTGGGATTTTTTGTTTTTCATACAGTTGCCATGCATAAATGTGCTGCAGCACAGCCTGTGAAAAGCAGCTCTGGAAGAGAGGACCTGAGCAGCTTCTAGAAGCAACCCTACAGAGATGGTTTTTTTCCCATTCTGGACAAGTAGATAGCACACATACTGCTTCTGAATCTCCTGTATCTCCTTTTGGGTGTTGCAGTCATCAAGCACAATTGATTAGGAAGTGGCAGGATCAGACTCCTTGTTGGGGCTGGACTGTGTTGCCTTGCTGAGTTGTCCTAGTGGACACTACATCGTGATGCTGGTTTGGGGACTTGGCCCCTTGCACCTCCTGCCTTATCGTTCTTCCTCTCTCATTCCTGTAGGCTACCCTGCAGTTCTGTGTGGTGAAGCCCCTCATGGCAATCAGCACAGTCGTCCTTCAGGCCTTCGGCAAGTACCGGGATGGTGACTTTGAGTAAGTTTATTTGTCTGGCGTGCAAGACTTGGCTGCCCATTCTCTGCCTGGCTTTGCATATTGTCCGTGTGTGTGCCATGGGAAAAGATGGGACAACATGGGCTGATGCACATGAGAAAAGAGGGCAGAGGTAGCCCTCTTAGTTTCAGGTTTTTTCTACCTAGTTTTGGGGGAGGGAATGGGACAGGGAGGCAGGAAGGAAATGGACTCTTTGAACTCCCCAGTGACAGTGGCAAGGGGAAAAGATCATGCTGAAGTTTCAGGCATTCATATATCTTCTCTTTTCAGTGTGACCAGTGGCTACCTCTATGTGACGATCATCTACAACATCTCTGTCAGCCTGGCACTGTATGCCCTCTTCCTTTTCTACTTCGCCACACGTGAGCTACTCAGTCCCTATAGCCCAGTCCTCAAGTTCTTCATGGTGAAGTCTGTCATCTTCCTGTCCTTCTGGCAAGGTGAGCTGCTTTTCCCTTCCCTTGGTAGGCACAAAGAGCTCTCTGCAGGGCCTCAGACACTAGAGTTAATAGAGCAGATGTTGATGAATAGACAGAATGTATTTCTGTATTCTATTTGTTTTATAGTCATTCACTGCTTTTCTCTGGGAAACCTGTTTTGCTCATTTTCATTTTGTTTCTATGCTCCTGAATCCTCACTATCACTGTGTGTGTGTGTGCACACGCATATCTACCTGGCAAAATCAGCTGATAGGGTGAAGAATCCTTTGCATTCCTGGAACAGTCATAAAGCACAATCTGCCAGCATTTTATCTCATGCTGCCATTTTATTGATTAAAGCGGCACATCTAAAAATCTTTAGTACTTTTTTTAGTGCTCTATAAATAAAATTTTAATGGTATGTCTGTGATTTATGTGAAGCAACAAGCTGGCTGAATGCGGTGTGTGCTGCCACAGACCCACCGCTGAGCAAGACGCTCAGAATTCATGCGCATGACACAGAGGCACATTCAGAAAGTTGAAATTCCACCTAAGCTTAGTGCCTCTTACTAATTGGCTCTAAGCATTTCCCTGTTCAGTGCCCTACTTAGGTTTACTGAGTTGCACTTCAAAGACTAATTGAGTAGGAACTTGGGTGGAATTTAGGCTGTTGGAGTATGGCCCATCCTCCCTGTCTATGGACAAACTAATAAGCATCTGTTTTATCATCTTGAGCCATTTGGTCACATACTTTGTCTTCTTTGGAATTCCTTGGCCACCATGGTTTTGTACAGGGAAAACCCTTTTTCTTGCAGTGGTTTGTCAAAAGTACCATATGCTTAAATGAAAAATTCTGTTACTTGAATTTTTGCTCTAGCTAGTCCAAGTGCTGATGTTGCACAATGTGGAATATGTAAAAATGTTCTTAGGGATGTTCTTTGATGTTTGATCTTTGTATACTTTCAAGTCTAATCAAAAAGAAAAGAGATTTAATCCATGAAACAGAGAGCAACTAACAAGCTCTAACTGATGTCCAGGTGTTAGAAAGACAAATTACTTGTCCGTAGAATTACCTTGTTAAGGTTTCAGGCTCGATGTGTGTGTTTCAGATCTCAGACCTAGGGGGAGGTTAACAAAGCTTGGGGAGAAGGATGTAGCACTGACAGGGGACACAAAGAATGTAGAATTAACGGGCACCCAGGTCATTAGGCAGAACCCCCAAGATAAGGAAGAAACTAAGACAACTCAGCAACTGTGTTGAATCAGCTCTGACTGGGTAAAAGGTAATTCTGGCAGGGGGAGATCATGACCACCGACCCAAAAAACCCACTGACTTGAAAGAAAAGAAAGACTGAGCATGAAGACTAATTGGTATGAGAAGTGAGACAATTGATAACAAATAGAAGATAAAATACTAATTAATAAGAGAACTAGGAAACTTGTAGCCAAGGAACATTAATGGCTTTGTTTGCTAAAATGTATAAACAGTGAGTTTTGGTTGTCATTGTGCTGGTTTTGTGGCTTTACCACCTAGTACCCCTTTCTGCACAGAACTGTAAATAAATCAAATACATTGACTGTGTGTGTGGATTGCACACCATGTGAAAGAACCTTTTGTAGGACAACACAGATCACAGGAGTGCTTGCAGAAATACCTGACTGCTCTTACTGTTTTGGACTTGAATAAGTCCTGCAGCACTTAGTTTCACAGTTTATGCAGCAGTTGAGAACAGAAGAGGGTCAGTGTTTGAACATGCTTTGCTTAAGCATATTTATCTCATTTTATTCCTCTTTTCTCTGTTGTACAAGTGGCTGTAGGTGGGTGTAGTAGCCTGCTCTATTTGTAGCTCCTGTGTTGTGGGGTTGCATCTAGGACACACAGCACAAACAGCTATTCTTGACACTTACCATGCAATCATGTTTTCTGTACATTTACATGAGCTTGTTGCTTTGTTTAGGGATGCTGTTGGCCATCTTGGAGAAGTGTGGTGCCATCCCCAAAATCCACTCTGCTGATGTGTCTGTGGGTGAAGGCACAGTAGCTGCTGGGTATCAAGACTTCATCATTTGTGTGGAGATGTTCTTTGCAGCCATTGCCCTGCGCCACGCCTTCACATACAAGGTGTATGTGGACAAGAGAATTGATGCCCAAGGTAGGAAGTATGCCAGTGCATATGGCTTGTCTCTTCGGTAGTGAGACTGGGTGGAGACTGGTCCCTCAGGCAGCCAACACACTGATATGACTCCCAACCTGAATGCTTGGAAAATGTCACATCCCCTCCTCTGCGGTGTCTGAACAGATTCATTGTGCAACAGCTCTGCAGGGCAGAAACCTTGCCTGAATTGCACTGTTCCCTTTTCAGTTCCCCAGTATACCACCCACAACAGCTTGTTGCAGACCTGAGGGCTGCAAGAAGTTGCATCGTTTTGGTGGAGTGGGTTTGTCCTTCTTCCTGTCTCACCAAAGGGGAACTCCATTGCTCCAGGTTGTGCAACAGACTGAAGGCAAGAGGGATGGGGCCTAAAACAGGCTCTGTTTTGAATCTGGCTTGGGAAGATGAGACTCTGCTTTGGCAATATATTTGTCATGGAGGAGGAGGATCTCCCTGTAATGACTTTGTGAGGGTTGGGCTGCTAGAAGTCTTATTCTACGGAGGAGGAAGGTGGATGTTATCTCTGGGAAAAGGGGGTTTTTGTGCCCAGTCTATGCATGTACATTCAGTGTTTTCCAAATAAAGGGGTTCTTTCCTGCTAGGGGAGATCTGTGATGAGGTGTGGGAAGATAGCAGCCTGTAGATGACCTCTCCATCCCAGCCAGCCCCAGAGGTTTTGGAAGGAGAGTTGTTGCAGTGGGGAGAGATGAGATCTGTGGGTGATGAAAGGGTAAACTGCTGGCAAGTACAAGTGGGTAATGTTTCGGTGGTGGGCCTTGTTCAGTTCTTGTTATTTCCTCTTTCTCTCTGTCTCTGTCTCTCTCTCTCCTCTTCCTTTTATCTCTCCCTTCTTTGGCCACTGGTCCCTGATGCAGCTGTTCCATCATATGGGCCATACGGTAGGTACAGCATGCTTTGTGTGTTTGTCTCAGTTGGCTTTTAGCTGAGATGCTGTTCTCTCCTGATTCCCAGCTTGCCTACAGCCTGTCCTGTCCCTTGTTCCCCCTTCCTTGTAGGTCTGTAACTCTGCTGCCTCACACAGCTGCTTTAGGGTCGTCTGGATTATAAGTAGTAAAATGGCTGTGTGGGCAGTGGAGTAACACGCAGCTGCAGAGTGTTCCTGTCAGCTGTGCAGGCTCAAAGGAGCTGGTTTGTGCTCTCACCCCAGCCTCCCCTCACTTTTGTAATTGCCCAAGATGATCATCATAATTGGCTTCTCTGGGGAGCTCATCCCCAGGTTTGAGCAGAGCCAGAAACTCCCACTGGAAATGGAACCTAAAAACCATGAGAAATGGCATTTCCTAGAAGGGGATGCTGCCTTCCTCTGTGCTCAGCACTTGAGTGGGACAATCTCCAGCTATTGCTTCCTTCGTGGTATCACTGTGACACCCTCTACACAAGGGGTGGTTCTGCCTCTAATACTGCCTGTTCCCCTCCTTTCCCTCCTTTGTGCTGCTTTCCCACTTGTATGGTCTCTTTCCTGTGGACATTTTGATACCATCCAGCAGTGTAATTTTCACTGAGTGGGAATGGCAAATGACATTTCTCCTAGAATTTTTAGAATTTCCTTAGTTTTTGTCTTCTGAAACCCTTTACAGGAGTACCTCCCTACCTGACTGTCTTCATTGCACATTCAAGCCAGCACTGGTAGCATGTAGTGGAGGTTGTCACTGTGGGTATGTCCCATTCTCATGGTGTGTACCCCATTTAGTGCTGAGGTGGATTCAGTTGGCTAACAGCATCTGAATTTAGGAGCACCACTGGTAAAGCCATTTGTGTGGCATTTCCTCAGCAGCTGCTTAAGGAAGTCTGTAACATACCGTCTGCAGGACCTAGGATTGCATGTTCCCTGTTCTCCTTACCTTCACGTTCAGGGGCATGGGGGAAGGCAGCAGTGTTCCTCACTTGTCCCTCCCTGTCTTACCCAAACAGGTCGCTGTGCTCCCATGAAGAGCATCTCCAGCAGCCTCAAGGAGACCATGAACCCTCATGACATTGTCCAAGATGCGATCCACAACTTCTCCCCAGCCTACCAGCAGTACACCCAGCAGTCAACGCTGGAGCACGGTCCACCCTGGCGCAATGGCAGTCACGTTATCTCGCGCTCCCACAGCTGCTCCGGTGCCCGTGATAACGAGAAGACCCTCTTGCTGAGCTCTGACGATGAATTCTAGGAGGGGAAACTGCCAGCACAGGCTGTCAATTTCCTCCCTTTTTTTTTTTTATAATTTATTAAAGCAGAAACACACAAGTCATATCACTTCCTAGAGAGTACAGATTGCAGAAGTGTGGGCACTTCCCATTAGCTTTTGTGGGTACGGACATGATGAGCAGTGTGGAGGTGGTGGAATGGCCAGGACTTTATTCTCGAGCCCATTCCTTACAGCAGCAATCAAATTAATTGCAGCAAAGCTCCAGGGTTTGGAGCTCTGGCTTCCCACACCTGCCCTGTTTGGTGTGGAGCGTCACTGGCCAGAGCCTGGAGTTGTGGCCAAAAATGTTTTTGTTTTTTTTTCCAACAGGACAACCTGACTCCTTTGTATTTTTTTTCCTGAATGGTTGATGTAGGCATAGTTTTCTCCCCGACTCTCTGGTACTAACATCTCTGTGATCCTTGGGAAATGGGATTGGGATGCAGCGATAAGCATTCCTGAGGATCAGACCAGAGACTGGTCTATATAGCCATTGCCTTTAATGCTAAGTAAGGAATATCTGCCCCCACCCTCCCGAGCACCTTGTTTTGAGCCCTGGAGTCAGAGTCACTTGAGTGAGCGAGGGGGAAAAGGACAGGACTTTTTTCCTTTTCTTTGGCTCCCTACATCCCCTGATCACCATCAAAGCTGATGCTTGTTGAGGCTCAGTGGGGATGGAATTGCTTTCTCACAAGGATGGAGTTTTCTAATCATTAAGTGTCCAAGCTTCCCATCTCCCTTGTGTTCCTGTGGCTAGAAGCCTCCGTGGAGCATGTCTCCTGCTAAGAAGATGGAGGACTGCCTGTGATAGGCAGTGGAAGTTTGTAGAGCTCTGGCCCCTTCACTCCTCTTTGGGAAGGGAAGATATGTAAACACAAAATCAGTTTTTTGTTTTTGTTTCCTGTCCCCCAGCATCACAGCTGCCCCTCTTAAAGGTGTGGGTTGCATCAGGTAGCTGCCAGAGCAGGTCCTGGTCTCTCACAGGTATCTCTCCCCATGCTTTTTATCACTGACTTTCCCTGTGAGCTGCACAAATTTTGCTCTTAGGCTGGAATATCCAGAAAGGAATGTTGCACACTCCTTTGTTTTTTATCTCCATAGCTGTTCTGGGCCAAACTGGAGCAGACTTGAAACCTGACATGACCTGGCTGGTCGAAATTGTCCCTTTTATTCTCCCAGGCAGTAGTTGCTGCTGCACACTTCACAGACCCTGCTGCAACTCAGTGCTATCAAGGGTGGAACCGTTATCCATGAAAGTGGGAGAAGCTTTCCCTTGCTACTGTTGGGTTTCGGATGGGCCCATGGGTACTTAGTAGAGCCACAACAGAAGTGATCCCTCTGTAGATCTATCCAGGGACCAGAAAATGCCTCTTGCTTACTTAAAATTATCTAGGGGAAGAGTGGGCAGCATGCTCAAGTGCTACAGATCAGATGCTCCTACCTGCAAGCAGGAAGCAAAACTGAGAGATTGGAGCGAGCTGCTGTGTTCTTCTCGGCTGTAGTTTCTCCGTTCCTCTCCCACTTGCCTTCCCTGCCATCAGCAGACCTGTGTGGTTCCACACTGCCCCTCGTTACTCTGCTAGGAGCACTGGAGGCTGGTTTACTGCCTTCAGGTTACCTCTCCACTTGTTTCCTAATCCATCTGCTTGTTTGTTCAGTGTCTCAGGAGTGACAGTGAGTGAAGAGCTTCTCATTTCCTCAACACCCCTGCCCAAGCTGGGCAAAAGGGCTTAAGGAGAGGCAGTTTTGCTCCCTGCTGTGAGAATAAGATAAAGGAAGGGCTTAAGGACAATGTCTCCTTCTGTACTTGTGTCTGGGGGGATGGTGAATCAGGTGGGAGCAACAGTGCTGACTGTTGAGGGAGCTGGAGGCAGGATCAGTGGATCCAGCAGCTTCTGTGCTGTTGGATTTCCCCATTTGTACACATCCTGCGATGCCATGCTGTTAGTTACTGCTTTTCCTAAGTCTGTGTCTGCTTAAATGGACATGCAAATATGCTCTGCCAGGCTTTGTGTGGGCTTGGTGTAAAACTTCCTCATGCATAAGCTGCCTGGAAAGCAGGGCTGAAGATTGAATGGGCTTTCCTTCTGTCCTCTATGGCTTTGATTAATAGTCCTTTAAACGTGAGGTACTTATGTTAAAGTTGCCCTCTCTCTTAAGAAAGTAGGGTGTAGGACATGATCCTACCCTCCCCTTTCTTTGCATTTGCAGGTCTTGATGATGTCCCAGTCGCCCACTTGGTGACCGTTCCCAATCTTTGTTGCATTTGGGTGGCCGAAATCCAAAATCTCAGTTATTGCCTCATTGAGCATGAAGGTGGTCCAGGCTTGGAGAAGCGTTTCTTAGAACTTACTTTGAAATGTCTCCTGCACATATATGCTGTGCAGAGGATCTGGATATTCTCAAAGCATCCTTTATGTAGTGGTTTCAATATAACCCTTTTGCACCAGCTGCCTTCAGAGAAGCCTGATGAAGAACTAGTGCCCAAACAACAGCCAGCTGCCCTGCTTTATAATTTTATATACATATATATTTTTTAACACCACACAAAATCATCCAGCACAGAGCTTGCTGCTCTCCCTCCCGACAGGCAAGTGCCAGAGCAAGGATTGGCTCTGAAGCCGCTCTGGCTTGGAGGAGCAAATATAAGATTCAGAGCTTGAAACCAAGAAGGCCAAGGTATCTGTGGTCTTGCAGGTCTGCTCATGGTAGCCCAGGGCCCCAAGAAATGTGTCAGTTCCAGGAGTAGGCCCTTGGAGCTGCTCTCCCTCACCTGCTTCCGCTCTTCTTCCTTCCTTCCTTTTTGTTTACCATGTAACATACCCATGGGATTTGTTTATTATTTTTCCATATAGAGTAGTTCTTTGTATATAAATGACTGAAAAAAAAAGTATGATAAATAAGACAGAGTCACCTAGTTTTGTACCTATTGTGTTTAACTGATGTGAGCTCAGCGACAAGCCGCTCTCTCTATTTTGGTCTTTGTGACGTTATACTCCGCAGAAATGAGCAAATATGATGACAAATAAAAAATATAGAGATAATATAGATTGTACTTAAACTGCCTCTGTGTGGTGTTGTCTGGGTGACTTCTCTGAGCTGATTTTAAGCTTTTGCTCAATGCAGGGACTGATGCTTGGTGGGTCGGCAGAAGGAAAGGTCCAGGTGTCTGTAGGAGCTGATGGAGCAGCATTACTACAGCACTCTGGGCTGAGACACCACTCATGGCTCAAGGCATGTGTCAAAAACCTGTAGAAATGAATCCTACCTTAGGTGCTCAGTGAGAAACACCTGTGGGAGAGAGGGGGCTGCTCTCTGACATGGGCCCATACAAACAGTGACTCTGGGCTTTTCTTCCATGAGCAGCTTTGGGGCCGGGGCAGAAAGTGACAGAGGGAAGGGGAATGTTAAACCCCCAAAACATCCTGAGTGCTGCAACCTGCTGGGGACCAGGCCTACCTGGGCATCAGGGGAACATGCTCATCACTTCCACCTCAGCTCTGAGGAAAGGCGGTTTTCCACACAAGGAGGTCAGGCTTCAACTCTGGGTAAGGTGCCTGCAACATTTCCTTCCCCCTCTGCCATCCACAGAGACAAGCTCGCTCCTTTCCTACTCGCTGTTCCTGAGTCAGGCAGTGAGGTCACTTGGGAGGGAAGATTTTGGGCAGAGCTGCCCTGATTGCACCTGCCTCTCCTCCTGCATCCAGTCTAAGGGCAGCCCAGAGGGAATTTTTCTAGTGAAAAGCATTATTTTTCCTAGGAAAATCTTTATTGAGCACAGCTGAACTGCTCCTGCAGTGATTTGGGGAGTGATGTTCAGCATTAAGCTTGCTTTCCAAGCCCCTTTCTTTCAGGGACTATAAATCTGTCTTATTCTAAAGAGTCATGAGTGGTCCCCCATCTCATTTTTTGGGCACGTTCTTGAACACGTCCTGCAGCAAAGCTAGAGGGAGCTAGAAAATCTGGTCTCACTGAAACACAGCTCTGTCCCAAGTTCAAGAACGACTAAACACACTCTCCCTGTGGAAAAAAAAGAACTTGCTTTATTTGTAAAGTCTACAAAATACAGAGAAGTCGGGTAGGACACATACTGTAAGTCAGAAAATAAATAAGTTTTTTTTTGCTCTATATAAGTATAAGATAAAATGTGATTTGCATATATAAAATATAAAGTACGGCTCTGTACCAACATCCTGGCTGTGCCGAGAGGCGGAATGGCAAAGAGGACGTGAAAATAACTTATGTTCGTGCAATAAATAAACCCAAGGGGAGTTGGGGTGGGGGGATGCTCACCACAGTGCCCCTCCATGAGTGGCAGGCACCTCTCTCTGGGGAGGGATGGAGGCTGCAGCCGAGGGTGGCTGACGTGGCAATACCCAGGCAGGGGCAGAACGGAGGGGCAGGGGAATCATCCACAGCAGCAGATGCCAAGACAGGTCTACCTCTACCTCCCCTGTGCTGCCCATATTATGCAAACCCGGCTCTTCCCCAGCATTTCAGCCTGCCGAAGAGCCTGTTGTCCCACACCAGTGTCCAAGCTGGAGGAAAACCAAAGGGAGGAGCCTACCTGCCTGCTAGGCAGCTCCCAGGAGCTCTCTGTCCCTCCTTCCCACCTCCTGCACCTCCACCCCTCTCTCTGCCTCCGCAGCTGTCTCTCAAGGGCCAGAAGCACCTTTCCATGGGTTTTGTAGGCGGTGGGGCACTGGGGAGCGCTTGGTGGGGCCGTACAAGCTGGTCTGTGCTGAGCAAAACAGTGTTTATCTCTGCTCCAGCTGCCTCCGCTTCCTTCCTGCCAGTGCTGCTGCATTTCAGAGACACCCAGCCAGGCTGAGTGTCCCGTCAGCAGGAAGAGGCGTGAAGGATGTGCGTGATAGGGAAAGATAAAACAGCACTACTGCTTCTCCCCTTTGTGGAAAACAGCCTGGGCTGACCCACTCATGTCCCCCAGCTCTCTCCTGCCCAAGGGACCCTGAATCACTGTCACCTCTGGGGTCCCCCTGCACCACAAGCTGCCACAGTGCTTTCCCATTCCATTCACCCGTACCAGACATCAACCTGCAGCCACTTTCTCTCCCGCCTTGACCTACCAACCTTCCCTCGCCATCTCCATCCCCAGAGACTCCAGCCATGCTGCCACCTCCCTCCCTGCTCCAGCCATGGTCCAAATTGTGTGCCCAATGCTGATATCCCTCTCTTATGCCTTCTTCCCCTGCACCGCAAAACCTCTCTCTCCTCCTTTCCCTCTCTGGCTCCTGGGACTGCCTGGCCTGCATTCAGCTCTCCCATACCCTCTCCCTAAAAGGAGGCACCTGGTGTTTTCCTGCCAGCTTGGAGCCATGGGATACTTCCCCACTGCTGCCTGTGTGGGTTTGCTCTCTCCTGTCTGCACCTCCAGGAGGGGAGGGGGCTGTCGGGGCCATCAGTGGGGTCATGTCCTCTACTCCAGCACCCACGCTGCAGCAGCCCTCCCCACCTGGGGGAGCTGGAGGTCAAGGGAGAGGAGAAGGAGGATTTTGGGTACAAGTCCCAGCAGGGAGGAGGCTGAGGAAGGGCTGGGAGGCAATTCATGGGGGAAGGCGCCCCGGGGAGGTCTGTGCCCAGCCGGGGGACGGAGGCCAGCACTAGGAGTAGGCAGCCTGGTTGGTGCCGGACTTGACGATGGTGATGACGCTGGCGGTGGCCACCTTGGCAGTGGGCCCATGAGTGGCCACAGTGCGGGCGAAGCCCTGCAGGGCCTCGTACTTGCCACGGAGAGTGTCGAGCTCCAGGCGCATGGCAGCGTTCTCCCGGGCCAGCTTGTCCACCTCCCACTCCAGCTCCATCTTCTGTTTCTGCAGCTCTTCCTTCTGGCAGACGCGCTTCACCCGACAGCTGGCAGCGTAACCCCGGTTCTTCAGCGTCCGACGGCGCTGCTTCAGCCTCGCCACCTCCTCCTTGGAGAGGCCCCGCAGGTGGTGGTTGAGCTCCCGCACTGAGAGCCCCATCAGCTCCTCATCCGACAGCAGCGGCGTGTTTTCCCCCAGCTCCCGCTTCACCTGCCGGAGAGAGGGGCGGTTGCCTGAGGCACCCTAAACCAGCCCCCTGCCTCCCAACCCCCTGTTCCCAGTGGCACTCACCTTCAAGGCCTTACTGGAGAGCCCGTCTGCAGCCATCGTTCCCTCACGCTGGCCCTGTTGAGCAGCCAGGAGAGAAGCTGGTTACAGCCAGCCCCATGGCCCTCACCACGGAACAGAGGACACTGGCCCTGCTGGTCCCCTGCCCACTGCCCACATGCCTCCCCACCCCGGGCCGTGTGACTCATTCCACTCGTTTAAAAAAAGTACGTAGTAATAATATTAATAGCAACGATGACTGCAAGCAATAATAATAATAGAGAAAGGCGGGACTTCCCATCCCTCCTTCATCCCATCCCGAGATGGTGGGGATGCTGCTCTGCCCATGGGACCCAAAACGCCCCAGCCGGCTGCTGGGACGCCAAGGCTTCCCCGCGGGGAGGAAGCCCGGGAGGGATCCGCTAGAGGTTGAAGGGAAAGTAAAAGTAGCAGACCCACGGAGTGACACCGTGACGAGGCCACCCAGCCGGGACCCGCGCGGAGGTGCCGCCCCTCCACCCCTGTGGCCCGGCGGGCGAGGGCACCGCGGCTCCCGGCCCAAGGGGTCGGGCATCCACACGCTCGGGAAACGAAGGGTCGGGGCCACGCAGGTGGGCGGGCGAGAAGTGCCCTCCCCGTGATTCAGCAGCAGAGAGAGAAAGTCACCGAAGCAGCGCCCGTCCCTCGTCGGTGACCGGTTCCTCCCCGTCCCGGGGCTCGGAAAGTGGGAAGGGGTTCGGGACCCCAGGCTGCAGCCCAGGAGCCTTTCCTCACCTCGGGGAGCTCCGTCCTCGTCAGGGGAGCCCTCGGAGGGGCGAGTGGGGCCGGGGCAGGGCAGGGAACGCCCCGCGAGGGATGAGGGGCTGGAGGGGGGCGGCGGGGAAGGTGGAGCCGGGGCGGCTGGAAGCTGATGCAATCCGGGCCGGGGAGCCGCCGCCGGAGCCGGGGGAGCGGCGGCAGATCCCCCCAGGGCGGTGGCCAGGACTTGGGAGGAAAGCGCGGACGGCACCGAGCGCGGACACCCCCACCCCCCCAACCCGTCCGATCCCGTCCCAGCCCCAGCCCCAGCCCCGGTCCCCGCCCTCGGCGTAGGCAGAGCGGCCTCCAGCCGGTGCCGGACCCCGCCGCCCCCCTGTCCCGGCCGCCCCGCAGGGGGAGAAGCGGAGCGGGGAACAGGGAGGCCGCCCGGCCAGCGCTCACCTGGCGGCTGCGGCGGTGCCGCGGGGCCGGTGCCGGTCGGGGCGTCGGGCGGCGACTCCAGCCCCGCTCCCCACGATTACTCACCCGCGGATTCTTTTCATTCATAAAAACACAGTCATGCGGTGACGTCACCCCGCCGCGCCCCCTCCCCGCCGCCGCCGCCGCGCTGGGCGGACGCTGCTCTTAAAGCGGCCGCTGCCCCAAGAGAGCCCCGGCGTGACCGCCCTCGTGGCGCACTGCCAGCGTATTAAACACGTCGCGTTACGAACGCAGCCAAGCTCCAACGGCGCCTGTTATAACCCTAATTCGAGGACTACGCACGCCCGGTGAACGGCCGTGCCGGGCGCAAAATGCCGCACCGCAATGGGCCACTGCCGCTTTAAGGGGCGCGGCTCCGCCCCTGCCGTCCCACCCCTCACAAAGATGGCGCCTCCCGCCCTTCCGCCCTCCTCTCTTCGGGAAAGCGGAGGGTGTGGCGCGTACCCCGCCCCCACGGACCCGCCCCGGCAGCGGCGCCGCTGATTGGTCCGTCCTAGGGGGTGGTGCCGCTGATTGGCCCGTCCCGGGGGCGGCACCGCTGATTGGCCCGTCCCGGGGGGCGGTGCGCGCCGGGGATTGCGCGCGGGGGGCGCTGGGGGCCCGTCGTCCTTTGCCCGGCCCCGTCCCAGTGTCCATCCCCGTTCCCATCCCTGTTTCCGGCCCCGTGTTACCCTGGCAATTCTGGTTCTCCTACTCAGGCACTGAGTCACACAGCCCGTGTAAGGGTAGCGGCC